TTATGATTTCACCCTATTTCATTTTATTATGAAAATGAGTTTATTTCATCAAATTAATATGGAAGCAAAATTATTTAAAATAATTTGAAATAAATTCAAACTGAATTCGCATCATTTGCCTACTTGTCATTTTTGTTATCATCGTCGCCGTAAAAATGCCGAGAAAACATAAGAAGACTACCCCTTCGAGGTGAATTTACAATAATTTGCGAAAGAAGGTCCAAAGCGGACTCACTCCGTCTGTGAAACCTGAGCCACTTCAGTAAACAATTCACAGTTCTTTTCCCTTCTTATTAATATACGTTCTTTGACAATAATACAGACAGGACAGATCGATATATAAATATCAAGAGGAAATCAAGTCCTATTAAGAACACCAACAATAGAAAAGTGCAATTATGTGGTACTAATGTGAAAAGCCAAGAACCCTCCAGTAGCAACCGATTTACTTTATTACCTGATGACAGCGTAAAGGGTACTACCACAGTTGCAAATGGCAAAACACCGCCAATTTACTTGCGCGAACGTGTCTCAAGCATGTTAGTTAATAATATTATCAAAATAGTCGGAACTAATAACATTCACGTTGTGCTTTTAAAAAAAGTCACCATCGATGAAACAAAAATTCAAACTTACAGTGAAAAAAGCTTCATGCAAATAGTAAGTTTTCTATCGTCGAGTGATAAAAGTTATTACTCATATCAACTGAAGAGCTGGAAAGGCCTAACAGTTGTAATCAATGGTATTGAGTTCTCAGTCAAGCGAGAAGAAATAAAAGAGGCTCCTGAAGAAAATGGTTTCAGTACTAAATTGGTTATAAATATACTTAATAGAAACAAAGTACCCCAGCCAATGTTTAAGGTAGAACTAGAGCCCAATTCCAAAAGAAACGGCCCAGTTCAATGCACTAACTGCCAAGAATTCGGCCATACTAAATCTTACTGCACACTAAGCTACGGGTAAAACTGTTCCAAACGTGCAAAATATGAATCCATATAAAATTTCTTATGAGAATGTAATGAAGAATAAATCAGATAATATTCCACAGAACCAATCTAATGGAGGTATAAAATCGATGATTTTAAACCTTAGGCAGTTCATATTCTACCCCACTTACCATCCTGATGGCAAAGCGCACGTCGGCACTAGAATACTTCTAAGAAACTGCCTTAAACGATGCGTCTTACAGCTCTAAGCCACCAATTATCGACAAGCTACCTCTGTAACCTTGAATAATTATGGCAAAGAGCTAAATCTCTCAGCCATTTATTGCCCTCTAAACTTTAAGATCGCAGAAGATCAATTTAAGGAACTTTTTGATAATCTTGGTGATAGATTTATAGCAGGATGAGACTATAATGCAAAGCATGTATACTGGGGATCCCGTCTAATAAACTCCAAAGGCTGTCAGCTATACAATACCATTATAAACAAACAATTTAGATTGTGTTTCCCCAGGTCAACCAACATACTGGCCCACCGATCAGAAGAAAATACCTGACTGAATAGACTTTGCTGTATCAAGAAAAATCAGCAGGCAACTTGTTTCAGCTGTGACAGTTGCTGAGTTGTCTTCAGACCACTCACCAGCTCTAATAAAAAATTACGAGCGCCCTCAGATAGTTGCACAAGAATCAACACTTACAAACAGAGAAACCAACTGGCTAAAATACAAAAAATATACTAGCAGTCATATTAACAACAACAACTCCAAAAAGTAGAAAGCCTACAATTACGTGCCCAAAAATTCTTACAAATACAGAAAAAGAAGAGTTAGTAAAGAATAATCGCACTCCAGTAGCAAAGTTACGATTGAAAGCAGCAGAGAGGAAGCTGAAAAGTGCACTGAGACAAGCAGAAGATCACAATGCCAAGGCATACATAGAAAAACTAGTACCAAATTCTGCCAAAAATACTCACTCTGGAAATCACAAAATAAATTTAAGTCTCCAATAGAAATGAATATATCAATCAGGAACCCAAATGGTAACTGGACACGTAGTAACGAAGAAAAGGCAAATTGCTTTGCAAAGCACTTAAGTAATGTATTCCAGCCAAATGACGCAACTAAATATTTTATTTTGCCGGAATTTGCTGTTAACGGCCAGGAAAATCAGGTGGCAATTAAAATATCTAGCTTAGAAATGGTAAACACTATACAGAAACTGAATCCAAAGAAATCTCCAGGCCATGACCATTACATCAGAAATGCTAATAGAGCTACCAAGAGTTGCACAGTCATTGCTCTCTGAACTCATTAATGCCGTTCTAAAACTAAATTACTTTCCGAACGCGTGGAAAAAGTCACAGATATTAATGATAGCCAAACCAGGTAAAGACCAAACACAGGCGGCTTCTAACAGACCAATAAGCCTACTACCCTGTCTTTCCAATATTTAAAAAAATTATGCTATCTTAAATATCTCCTTTTCTCCACCGTAACAATGTGATACCATATCACCAATTCGGCTTTCGTAAAAAGCATGGTACTATTGAACAAGTAAACCAATAACTAATGAAATCAGAAAGGCATTCGAGCTCAAGGAATACTGTTGTGCAATCTTTCTTGACGTAGCACAAGCGTTCGACTAAGTCTGGCATAAAGATTTACTGTGCAAAATACATAAAGCTCTGCCTGTTCAATTTTAAATGATACTTAAGTCATATCTGACTAACAGACAATTTACCATTAAACAATCTGAATTTATCAGTGAGGAGTATCAGGTAAAAGCTGGTGTTCCGCAGGGTAGCATCCTCGGGCCTATTTTATATATGATATACACTGCAGACATCCCATTAAACCGAAAAGTGCAGATATCTACCTTTGCGGATTAAACAGCTATTTGATGCCGGGACAAATGCCCTAAAAGAGCAGCAAAAACGATTAGTGATCAATTATTCCTCGTCGAAGAATGGCTAGAAAACTGGAGAATCATAGTTGACGAACAAAAGTGTAAGCACGCGACATTTAATTTAAGACCGCAATCATGACCTGCAATTCGCTTAAATGGTATAAACATTCCCCAAGTAAATGATGTTACATATCTCGGTATACAATTAGATAGACGTCTCACTTGGAAAGACACATAGAGGCTAAAATACTACACATGAAATTAAAAGCAGCTAGTTTAAATTGGCTTTTAAATAAAATCTCCACTCTAAAACTAAACTAAAAAGTCCTTATTTACAACGCAGTATTAAAAACAATTTGGACGTACGGTATTCAACTGTGGTGTACGACCTCTGCAACTAATATTGATAAAATATAGATGTTCCAGTCCAAAATTTTGGGAGCACTAACAGGCGCACCATGGTACTTTCGTAATGTAAATATTCATAAAGCCCTTGGTATTTCACAGGTTAAGCCTGAAGTTGAAAGAAGCAGGGCAAAGTACTTCACAAAGCTGAGAAATGATCCTAATACGCTAGCTAATGCTTTATGCAACCCATCGGGAAATTCCCACCTGCAGAGAAGAGATGTTCCCGCACTCGCGCCGTAGTTTGGTAGGTGCTCAGAGTTAAATAACTCGAGCTATTATGTTTGTAATTTAGTTTTTAAAATTTGAACACTTACTGTTAGGCTTATATTATAGCAGATCCAGTTAATAAGTGAATTGTGTATAAAAAAAAATTAATTCCTTTTTTTTGCTTTAACGAAGGGACATTTCTTTATGTTTAACCCTCTTTTTTCTCTTCTATTCACTTAGTTGGCACTGTGTACTTTCTGGAACTTCTTGTTTGAGTAACGTTTTTTTCAAACCGGTGATCTAGCAGACGAGAAAAATGTTATTTTATTAAGATCACCGCTAAGTAGTATCTACTCTCACTAACTTCCACAAAACTTACATTTTAACAAACCTCCTCTCTGCTCTATCGAACCAAATGGCCCTTAAAGGTAGGCAACATTAAAGCGACATACCCGTATGGTAGACACACGCACAACATACATATTGTACATCCGCAAACCTTTCAATACAGTCTTACAAGTACAATACTAAGAGAAATGCTCTCGTTGCATATTAAAAAAAATGTGTCAAACAAGCTCAGGGTGTAAAATATATCATTTGTAAATTCAATTATTTTAAATACTACGTATATAAATACTCAAGGGAAATATAATATTAATTGAGATTAGTATATTTTTCGCAGCTGTGCTAGCCCTTGTACGAAAAATCTTATTTCACCATACATGCGACACCAGCGACATCTCATCTGAGCGGTACATCTCGCGGTACAACAGCTGATAGCTTCTACACTCCTCTGTACTCTGGTCTGAGATTACAAAGGGATACTTTTTGACGACGAAGGGGCGACTATATACTATATATAATTATTAATATTCCAGATTCTGCAGATAAAGTTGAATTAGTTCAAGAAATATTAGAATCTATTGAGAAGACGTTGTAATTGTTTCTGATGATTTTGAAAAGGATGAGATATCTATTCACATTACACTTTCGAAAATAGCTCTATTCTAATGTTTAATGAAATGTAAAATTATACATATTTATAAAAGAAATAGCTAAATAAAAGCTGTGCCATCTTTTACACATATATCGTGTTTATATTTTAGAATTATTACAAAGTGCGAGGCGAACGAAAAATTTTGAGTGTAAAATGAGGGTTGACTTTAGTTTGGAGCCTGTGCTTTTTTAAGAAATGTTCAGGATTGGTAGTATAAAGAAATTTATAGTTTAAAAGATTTAAACATTTTAATTTACACTTCTCATATGCAAATCTTCCAATAACCAAGAAAAAAACCGAAATATCGCATTGTGTGAAAATGCGAGTTTTACTCAAAAATACTGAGCAAGGGACGCCGGTGTTGGTCCTACCCAGGGTTACAATCTAAAACGCGGCCAAAGGCGTTACAGTTAAAAAATACTGTGCAAGGTGAAGCTGGTGTTGGTCCGACTTATTTTTCTATTTGAGTGGCAACATTTGTTTTCACATTTTATTTTTCTGCATATTTATTGTTAATTTGTCGATTATTTGGAGTGGCCTCGCCTCCCTAGCCAAGAGTTGTTAGTGTTTTTAAAAGCAATATACAAGCACGCTCCATGTATATAAAAAGTGTAAATTCAAATGTTGATATATTGGTAATTGTAGACCGCTTACTACTAACCCTGATAATTTCATAAAGATATACCACAGGCTCTATACTAAAGTTTTCCTAAAATAAAGTGGGATAGAGAAAAAAAATTGAGAAGAAGCAAATATCAAAAAAATTGCTTGTAAAAGGTATCTCCGTGAAAGGCGACATAAAAAACTAAATTACGATAATGACATCCTCATGTGAAATCAGACTCTATACTTTGACAGCTTGTAGTGTGTAGCCCGTAGCGATAATTCTGGTTGTTATATACGAAAGCAAAACACTTGAAGATATTGACCTAAAGTGAATGAGCTATTGAAAAAATATCGAAAATAAATAAAAACAATATACTAGGTTAATTACTTCAAGCTATACATATCTTGGTATTATATTCGCTTGAAAATGGTGCAGAAAATTGTATACATAAATATGTTTGTGTTATAGAGTTCTAATGGTAATATTTATTGAAATATTTATCGTGTGATTCAGCTTGTTCATTGACACTAATAAGTGGAAAATAGCCAAGGACTATGTTTTGTATATGTTTAGTCAATGTCTGTGAATGGGTGAATATTTACACGTGTGTTTATGACGAAGTGTAAAAAACTATATATGGGAGTTTATTGACCACAGGTGAGACATTCAGTGACCGATATAGAAATAGCACAAAAACACCACTAGCTAGCTTATCGAAAAACTAAAATAGTTTAAATATTTTCATACTCGCAAAATACGTATAGGAATATATAATGGTAGTTATACAGCAGTGCGACTTTTGCTAAAACTGTCCAAAAATTATGGGGTTTTTGGCTAAATAGGTGCATTTGATGATTATCTTTTCATTAAAAGTGGGTGAAAGTTGAATTTTCCAATAGCTTTACTATTATTAACATTTAAAGTTACACTAAAATTACTAGCACACATTACATACAAATACATGGCTAAAGCGATGTTGCCATATCTTACTTAAAAAAGAGTAATGAATAAGACAAAGTAAGGCGAAAGCGACGTTGCCATACTGTGTAAGAAACTTGCAAAAAAAAGTAATAAATAATGCGGAGCAGGTGTGGGTCCGTCAAAGTTTGTTTTTCGATTCATTGAAAAGAACAAAAGCGAAAATTCGTATTGGCTGAGCTTTGGTTAGCAGCCCCACTAGAGATTGTAAGCAAACAACCAAGAAGTTCAACATGAAACTTCGTAGGAATGATAATAGAAATATATTTTGCCAATATTTTAATTTTTGGAATTTAAATTTGTTATTTGTTGTTAAAAATTGGTAATTTAATCCCATCATTTCTTTATGAAATGTTCACTATTCTTTCTTTTTGTTTAACAAACACAAATATAACTTTGATTTTATTAAATATTTTCACTTATTTTGTATAAACTAATGCGCAATGTAACTTAAATAAACATTAACAAATTTTATTAAAATCAAAACAAATGTTCCGGAGGGTATTGCCGTACAGGCTGAAATATTATATACATTCAACAAAAGATATGAAAGGTATTGCCGTCGCAAATTTAATTTGCAGTTTCTTTCGTTATTTACTCAGTAATTCACAATTCAATTACAATGCACTTTACTAGTTACAATCACTTGCATAAACTTTCACAATTTACTTTACTTAAATGTAATCTCTAACGCGTTTACTTTACGACTCTATACTGATGTTGTCGCAAACGAGTTCACTTTGTAACTAACTTCTTGGCAGCTGAGTGTCGCCTTTATATAGCAGTCGGCTGCTCGTAGAAAGTGTAGAATAATAGAGTTGTTCGCTACCGAAGCTTCTCGTTTTATCGTTCTAGAATCTACTAGTAATCGGCTTCTCTCTTTCGTCTGACATTCGCCTCGCATTTTCGCCACAATGTAAATTAAACAGTATTTTTCATAAAGGCATTTCATTTAAAAATACTGTGCAAGGTTAAGATGGTGTTGGTCCGGCCCAATGTTACAATCCAAAGCGTGGCCGAATGCCGCCAAATTACAAAAGCGTTTCACTTAAGAATACTGTGCAAGGCGAAGCCGGTGTTAGTCCGGCCCAGGGTTATAATCCTAAGCGCTAACTTACAAAGCAGTTTCACATAAGAAAACGTTTTATTTACTAAAGTAAACAAACTCAATGCAGTTTTTATGTGTAAAATGACAACGTTGTCGGGCATTACTACAAGCAATATTTAAGTACTCCGTGTGATTATAATAGCTTTTGTTCGGTAATTTCGGTTGGTTAAAATTATGGCTAGCAACAAATTACTAGGAAACTAAATGTTACCTCGGCGAATGACATAAATATCCATGATGTATACGACCTCCTCTAAAATTTGCTATTTACTTTGTACTTTTTTCGCTAATTACACTTTCTCAGGAGTGCGCCACGTTTTGCAATAAATTTCCTGTTGGGGGCTTAGAGGAGGTCATATTCATCACAATATGCTATTTCATTCCTCGAGGTAACTTATTTTTCTAGTAATTTGTTGTTAAAGTTAAAATTTTGACCAAATGAAATTCCCGAGTAAAATCTGTTATAATCACACGGCTTAATGGGTGCGTAAATAAGCAGAATTGTCGCTTTTGTCTGTCTTCATAATACCAACCAAAATAACCCATTACAAAAGGCTTATATTTATATTTAAAAAAATCCAATTTATTTTGTATTCATTAAAGGATATCTAATTTGTAGATTTATGAAAATAAAAGTGTTAAATTTTCTAATAATAACATGCAAACAAAACAAAACACACAGGCGAAAAGAAAATTCATTAGAAAAATATGGGTACAAGGTAAGTGCTCTATAGGAATTAAATCTGATTACTATGTCCGCTGTAGGCTTCGCGTCGTTATCTTGTTGAAAGTAGTAGTCACTTTCTAGATCCAATTTTTCAGTGTTTTGCTTCAAATATCTTTTCAAAACATTAAGATATGCATATTTGTCTTTATTGGACTCTATAAATTCCATTCTGCCCACACCATTACTGAACATACTCCCTTAACATTGTCGCAGTGGGCAGCAAGTTGTCCTTATCGAGAGCCGTACCCAGTTTTCGCCATACAATCTTACGCCCTTTGATAACGAAGACGCAAAACTTGCTCTCGTCGGAAAATTGTTTCTTGTGCCAGAACTCCCGAGGTTTATTTAAGTGCTCTTTCGTGAAAGCAATACGTTTTTGCCTACTGACTCTCGATATGAATAGCTCTTTGCATGCGACATGGCCATAATACCCTGCTTTTTTCAAAATTTTAGGGATGGTGTCAGCGCAGAGGGTCTTCTCGAAATTTTTCCTTAACATTTTAGGCGATTTTGGACGCTGAATCACCTTTTTACTACTTGTGCGCAGACTTTTTCTGCGATGCCAAATGAGTATTTTTTGTATATTCAACGATAAATCAATGTTGCGAAATTTAAATTGTTTTAAGTGCTGTTATATCACGCAATAGACAAGAAGTAAAGCATTCCTTGAGGTAACATATTTTTCTAGTAATTTGTTGTCAAAGTTAAAATTTTGACCAACCGAGCTTCCCTAGTAAATATCTATATAATCACACGGAACACTTAAAAAATACATTCTCACTTTTGTTTACTTTAGTACGGGGTTAAGGGGTCACCAATACACTCACACGATTTCGGACAGCACTAACACATATGCATGTTTGTTTTGGTTATTTTTCTCTTCTGAGTACAAACTAATTGAAGAAAAATGCAGTGGAACGGATTATTCGATTTTCTTATTTTCGAGCAGAACTCCATTTTTTATCGTTTTCTCCGCAGTAGATGGAAGTGAAAAATATACATGCTATGGTAATAATATATTTTGGATTAGTTAGTTACATCTTTTTTATTTAAGGGCACTCTATTTCGTACGAAAAGATCAACTAATGAAGCAGTTTGACTGGAAAGGATGCTTCTCGTCTAGCCGCAGTAGTAGATTTAAAAATATTCGACAAAGCTTTGCGTTGTGGTACAACTGCATTTAGACATAAATAACATTCTGATTCGAATATTCATTTTTTTATTGTACTTAGGCATCTTTATCTTCAAAGGAGCTGCGATAATTACGGAAACGTTCGTGAGGCTTAGGAGCTGCGTCACCAACGCATGACACCAATATAGACTTTTGTATATGTGGTTTTGCTTACAATATTTTGCAGATTTTTGAAAATGAATTTATTGCTATATTATTAATTCTTTGTATGATATATAAACCATGTACCTGATCTATGTAAAAATATTAAAATATAGACTGAATCTTAAAACATTCTTAATGTATATGTATGGAAATTTTTTGTCAAAGCTTATTTCCATCGGCATCAATGCTGTCACTCATCTGTGTTCGGCCTTTACGGCACTGCTGCTGTTTTTTTACGTCCGTTTTGCTTTCTTTTGGTTTCTATGCTGTCGCTTAGCTGTGTACGGTTTTTCGGACGAGAATGACAAAAATGAAGAAGGAAAAGAAAAGAGAATTATGTACACATATACAAATGTAAACAACACGTTTGCAACTTTGGCCTTAAGAAAGTGATAGGAAAATCGTTCTACGAGCTGACGGCATATGTCGTCATGCATTCCTGACATATGTTGGCTCAAATGATCGGAAGCCTTCTTGCAGGGGTATATGTGTCCGCTACAATCAGCAAAACCCGTGTTGCCACACGACAAAAGTAAGTTCATATATTGCAATGCAATGAATGAATAACCAAAGAACGTATATTAATAAGAAGGGAAAAGAACTGTTAACCAATTGAAATTTTGTTGAGGTGAATCACAGCCGGAGTTCACCTTCCTTCAAATTTTTCGTATCAAAACAAAAATCAGCCGACTGAACAGCAAAAAATCGTTTGAACTGCGCGCAAAAACACATATGCATAAATATATTAAAGTAACCATAGATATAAAGGATTTTTTTTGGTATTATCTTTTTGCAACACTGGCTTAAACAACTGACGCACGTTTCGTGTTTTGTATCACTGTCGAATTCCTTCAATTTGGTCTATAATTTAACCATGATTTTTCTTACAAACTAACAACCCTTGCAAATTATTAAATTATTATCAAAATCCATGCTCTGTTAAGAAAGTTTATTGCGCGCTTCGAAGCGGTCAACTGGCCGCCTAGATGGTTGGGTTTAACGCCTTTATTCTATTTTTGGTGAGGTTATGTTAAATCAAATGCCTATACAGACAAGCCCGCTTCAAATGACTCGTCGGAGGACAACAATGAAGCTCTATTCGAACTGTTTGTAACCGCTGAAGCGATTTTCGGCCAATCTCCTCCTCCAATTTGTGATTTTGCGTCTTGATGTTTTCCCAACAATTGAAGGGACCTACAATTTATACTAAGCCGCATCCAAACGGCTGATGGCTTCCTAATGAGAAGCTTTGTTTCATGTCAGAAATACACTCAGAGGGGTTGACATTCCCTGCCGAGGGGCGACCGCAATTAGAAAATTTAACTTAATTTTTTATTTAAATTAATTTTCTCTAACTTTTGGATGTTGGTCGCACGGTGATTTGAACCCGAGCCTTCCGACTGGCAATACGCAATACTAACCACTCGGCTCCCGCGGCCGCAACCTGAGATGATATCAAACTATTTTTGTCCCACAATTCAAGACTTGACTTGCATGACTTGTGGTTTCTAGAAGACGGTCCGGTCAATTGGCCGCCTATGTCGTGCGCCTTTAGTCTATTTATGGTGAGGCTATCTTAAATCTAATACCCATACAGACTATCCCGCTTCAAATAACGCATTGGAGGACAACATTGAAGCATTTATTCGTGAGATACCGGCCGAGGTGTTGGAAAGAGTATACTAAAATTAAATTAATCGGATGGACCATTTTAGGCGTAGTCACGGTCAACATTTGCATGAAATAATCTTCAAACATTAAATTATATGCACCGTACTATCCATTTATCCATTTTTCTGAATTTTAAGTGTTTTTTTAACTTTTCTATAGCTCTTAAAAAACCACTCTTTATATACTTGACAGATTGAAAAAACTGAACGGATCCGTCTTTCATTATTTGTGTCCCCGCGCTCGCCTCTACTTCCCTCTTTGGCCATAGCTAGGGATTCGCGACTTCATCATACATACATACATATTGTCCAGCTAATATGACGGACGGCCAACTTGAACTTACTTCCTAATATGAGATAATAGCAAACAGCAAATTTAACAGTACGATGTCGACTTGCTTTAAATGTGTGTAGTTGGTGCTTTACACTTCGGGAAGGTGTACGATTTGCTAATTTTTGTTATTCTCGTTACCGCAGCGACAAAGCATGATTTTTACGGGACTTTTTATACCCGGCTGTACTATGTGAATAAAGTACAATGGGTTAATTCTGCCAACGGTTCTAAAATAATCGAATAAACTCTTACCTAAAAAATCCCTATGGAATGGTGAGATAAATCGATTTAATAATGTCTATCCCTCCGTCTCTAAATACGATGGCTCAAATAAGAACTGAGATGTTTTATACATATAAATATCAGCCGAATATCTCGCTTAGGTCAGCAAATATCATTCATTTAAGTGCGCCAACGGAGAAACACCTCAAAACTGGGCCCTTACCAAATCCTTTTTATCCGGGTTGACGTCGAAACCAACCCTAGTCCGACGGATTATTTCTGCTGTGTGTGCCATAATAGACTCCACCACTGCTCCACCTCGGTTAGGTGCAACCAGTGCAATGGTTGGAGTCATCTTAAGATCTGCTCAGGCCTTTAGACCCATACGGAGTGGACCACAAGTTATGTGGACCCATGCTGTCAATGACCAAGTGAGGCTCCCAGCCTCCACGGCAGTGCCTTCACCACCTTTACACTTTGGGTAACCAACAGACCTTTGCGGTCTCACGGAGCTCCCAAAAGCGTTGGCTAATACAGCAGCAACACACTCCATGTCCACATCACTCCCTCATCCCCGCATCACGAATGCTCCCCCGAGACAGACATGACTGTTACACTTTAACTGCAACGGACTCCAGTCGATTATAGGCAAAGAATTAAACTTTTATTCACTTTTAGATTTATTAATTTATTTGTTTGCTGTAATTTTCATATAATAGTCAATCAAAAATTGCATATTTAAACATTTGCTATTTACGTTGTACTTTTTTCGCTAATTATATTATGTAAAACACATTCAATTTAACAAATATCCTGTTCAATTTGGTACAACTCAATCACAATACTCGACAACTTTGTGTTGGATCGAGTAGCACGCAAGCAATGAAAATGTTGGAAACAATAACATGAAATTTGGTATAATATACACATATCTTACTTCTCGCTTTGGCTGAGCCTGATTTGATGTAATCGAAAAGAAAAATTACATTCGAGTATAGTCTCGAGTGAACACTCGCGTATTCAATCGAGTATTCACAAACATAAACGCAGACATGTGGGCGCCGTAGCGTCCATCGTCTAAACAAAAATAATACTATGAATAAATTTAAAAGTGTACATATTACGCACACTTCAACAAATAATAATAGCGAAAAAGTCATTTTATTCGAAATTTTGTAATATTTATGCAACTGCAAACCAATAAAGAACAATGCCAAATTAGGAGTATAAAAACCAAGCTACAGAAATTTGATACTCTATGCATACAATCTTTTTTTTGATACTTTGACTTTGATTTTGAAAATAAAATAATTTCATTCTCTTTATAACAAATAGTAATATTATATATTTTCATTTAATGCCTAATATAAAAATTAATAAGTAAGGTATTCCATAGTAAAAGTAATAAATTTTCAATAAGGTCTAGTTAATTAACACAAATAAAATTAATAGTATTTCATTACAGTCTTAAAAGTTTTGTAAAATAAAAACATCTGTATATAGTTTTCGGTGGTAAAGGTAACTTCAACCGATAAAGAAAATACAAAGCTTCTTCGCTAAGAGTTTTCGGTGTGTAAAAGTAACTTCAACCCATAAAGGAAATACAAANAAGCTTCTTCGCTAAGAGTTTTCGGTGTGTAAAAGTAACTTCAACCGATAAAGAAAATACAAAGCTTCTTCGCTAAGCTTACTTCTGAACTGCTCCAGTTTACTTTATTAACATCTTATTTATTCTTAAATCCTATGAAATAAGATACGCTTATGAATACATTCCATGGAATAAAACATGCTCTTATGCATTTATTTGTTTGCTGGCATTCCGGAGTGAGTGATACTTTTGTTTATTTTTATTATCGCGAGGAATATATGTACATATGTTAATTATATTCCTCAGCGATTCTGACGGCTAACGTTAATATGATATGTCAATATATGACTATATACAAGTAACGTTTACCCTAAAAATAGGCACTTGTCCTTCAATCTCTATAAATAGGAATACAATACCTCAGATAGATTTCGTGACCTACCTGGGCGTTACATGGCATAAAAGACTCACCTAGAAAAACCACATGGAGAAAAAGATTACTCAAACCAAATTGAAAATTGCGAACTTACATTGGATTGTAGGCTCTTAGTCGAAACTAAGTCTAAAAAGTAAGATTCAATAAAACATTATAAAAAGAAATTTATCTGTTTAGAGTTCTTTTTTTATCTATTAGGTCATATAACGATCCATATTTATCCTCACGAATTTTCCCAATCAAAAAGTCAGTAGGTTCAGTTTTAGTTGTACTGTGTATCGTGCTGTTGTAAAAGCCTATTATCCTTTACATTTTTTCTTCCATTGTTTCACTTCCATTTTTGTCATCGTTTCGGAAAAGGCTTAAAAGTTCATTAACAGTGTTGCAAAGTCTTTAGATATATGCATTGGATGTGGGGCTGCTGCTTGAAGTATAGTGTATTTGGCTGTTTTTTTTCTCTGAGGAATTCTTGCACAGTTAAAGTTTAGAAGCGGCGCAACTCCGGGCATGCACCTTGAATGTCTGGTCCCTTAATTGGAAAGGTGTTGCTGCCCAGCTGGTTGATGTCATCGAAAGAACAAAGGCTGACATCACCGATGTCCGAGAAGTGCGATGGACTGGATATAGACGAAAGCGAGTAAATTCTTGTTACTTTTAATACAGCGGCCATATAAAGGAGTGCAAATTTGGTGTTGGCTTTGTGGTGGGAAAGACTTCGTTGTCGAGTACTAGTATTCACCCTGGTGGATCAGCATCTGACCACAATCCGTAGCAATGCGAAATTTTACGACATATCTTTGATTTGCTCCCACCACGGGTGACAAGGGTAGCGCTCGAAAATTCTATGAAAGGATTCGACGACTAATGGAAGGTTTCAAGAC